CAATTTTTTTCTCGTAACTCAAAAAGAGTCAACCTTCCTGACACCTATGTCCTTTATTGTGTGCATCAATGTATTGTTCCTTAGCTATGCTTTTTTTATATAATACTATTGTTTATAATAGTTGTTTGTTAGACGAGTGGAAATGTATCAATTTTAACGCATTTCATTTGTTTTTATCTTTTTGTAAAAGGACATTTTTTAAAACTTGAATTTTTTAATAGTTGTCTTAATTGCAATAAACGAAGTTATACGAAAACAAACTAAATTAGAAGACTGAAATTAGAAAAGGTGTCCTACAATTCATTTCATTATTTTAATAGACAGTTATGGTAAATAATTAAACGAAACTTAAAATAACCTGAAATTTATACAAATCAAAATTGTAAATAAATTTGTAATTAAAACAGATGCTTCCTATTTGTTTTACGCGGCGTAAAGAGAATATATCCATACTAATATTATAAAGAGGAAAGATTTGTATTTCTATTTGTATTGAAATAACTCAAAAACTACTGGGCCTATTTTAAAATTCTTTGACTGTTAGAAAGATACTTTATCTGTAAGTAACATAGGCTATATTTTAACATCACGCGGGCAACAGCTAGTTACTAATATTATGAATGGGAAAGTTTGTACATTTGGATGGGTGTTTGTTAGAAGGTATTTCATAAAAGGCGTAACAGATCTCGATTAAATTTGGCATAAACGTAGAGCATAGTCTGGAAGAACGCATAGGCTAGTTAATTATCTATACTTAGTTATAAAGAGGGTATATTTGTATTTTTTATGTAGAAAAATAACTCAAAAACTACCGGGCCGATTTCAAAAATTCTTTAATCATTTAAAAGCTACGTTTCAAGCAGTTAGTTTTTATGAATCCGCACGGTCAAAGTCGTAGACGACAGCTAGTTAGTACCTTAAAAAAAATACTAAGCAACAGTTCGATTACGATTAACTTACATAAGCTACGTATCATTGACTTTACAGAATTCCTTTCGCTTATCAACATTATCAATGGCAATAATTTTTTGCGTGATACCGCACGCACGAAATTTCCACAACGTATCGATTTCACACGAGAAAGTGTTCGAACGTTATCACGGAATACGTTATCACGCTTTTTTAAAACTTCATTTCGTTAATAACCTTCCATTACTACGGTAATATATTTAAGAATTTTATTAAGTTACTTTATTGGGTATAATCACATGAAATGGTTTGGTTAAATCTATTCTTATCAACTAACTAGCTGTTCCCGTGCGACTTCATCCGCATGAAATTATGAAAATTTAATTTTATTGTTTACATTTGTCAAAATATCAATTACAAATGTCATGACACGATGACAACCTTGCTTCCTTGATGTTGGCAGCAACTTATGGTCTCTTTCGCACATTAGGATTTTTAACCAAAATATTTACCCCCTAAATTTAATGGCGTTAAAATATATAGCCGAAAGCGTGACGCAAGTGTAGGGCTTTTTTATTAAGAAAAGGATTATTCAAAAATATGCTGTAATTGCTGACATCTTAGGCAACAAAGAAGTTTGTGTTTACGCTTTATTATAATAGTATAGATATTAGATTATATGGATGAATGTTCGTAAGAGTTCGAAATTTGGCATAGATTTATAGCTCAGTCTGAAAGAACACACAGCCAACATGCCTTTATTTGTTTTCCACACGAACAGGGTCATGCGTAAAACCTAGTATTCATTATAAGAAAAGGATAGGATACGGAAGTACACTCTTTCCGTAAGTCCTCTCCTCTGGTCAAAGTAGGTAACGCATAATCTAATTATTGAAGATGTCTACAGACAGCTTTCGCTGCTATATTATAAAAATTAAATTATTGGGTACACATGTCTATTAGTAAGGGAGATTGCCAGATTATACGTAGTTACAGACTAGAAAATTTAGAGATCCAATTTTAATATTAAATTTTAAGTACTGATCATGAATTATTCACATGATGTAAGAAAAATGATCTCTTTTTAACCTTCCCACGAAATTTTAAATTTGCATGCGCTTCTCAATTCGCAACTAGATCATTTATAACTAGACAAACCGAAAGAAAAAAGAATTCGCGCATCGTATACTAAATAGACAAAACCTGTTTAGCGATTCAATACGCATCATTACCAAATATTAAATCAAATACTATTTGAATCCGTATTTTAATTTCTAAACCTTATTGCTTTAATAATAAAATTCAAAATCAATTCAACAGTATGAGTAACCCTTCAGGATATTCCCAAGACACTCGATTCAATGGTTGTATCAACGCCCGCAGCGTTGCAAAAGTATGCAAATAATTTTTTAACACTAGTCAAATTATTACAAAATAGACCTTGCGTCAAGTCAATTAAAGTTTGCATTTCTTTATCAGAAAACATTACCAATATTATATTATAAATTAAACTCTACCAACTTTTAAATAAGGTATCATTTTGATTATAAATTTGAGAGTATAGTAACGTTTGATGGATTAGGTAAATTAAGCAAGATAGTTCGGAATGTTTTGATTAATCATTTCCTATATCGTGAGGTCTACTTGAGATCGTTTAGTTTTGTTCTCAAGACGTATATTAACATAATTGCTTGGGAATACTACCAAGGTTTACGCACATTATTCAGTCATATTTTGTACGAGACTTGAATGTATTATAAAATTATTATGAACAAATAATATACGATTTGAGAACCTCTTCATTTTATGAAATTAATATCTCTCAAAATAACTTAATTTGTGTTAATTAGTGCTTGGAAATATTGAGAATAGAGGAAATTTGAGAGAGGCTACTCTCAAATTTTCTGAGTGATTGAGAAATAAAGAGTAAAAGGTAAGCATGGCATAGGCGTGTTATGAGGAGGGGAATCACATGTAACAAGAAGGACGTTAGTTATGAGTGTGGTACACCGGTAGAGGTAGACTTGGAAAGAGCTGGATGGAATGCGTGAAAGGTGACATGATCAAGAAGAGAGTGATGACTGAGATGACAGAATGAATGATGAATGAAAGATGATGAAAGATGACAGAGATGAAAGAATGATGATAGAATTATTTGGAACACGAGAACCCATTGCGCCGACCCTAAGAGACTAGGATAAGGTAGGAGAAATGATGATGGAAATATGAGAATTAAAAGTGGCCAATAAAATACTTCCTTAATGTAGTTTTAGTGTAACATTCTTAGACTAAAAAGAGGATCTGTAACTAGTTACATAGTGTAAAGTCAGTTAATAACAAGGTTCTTATTATATTTATGAATATAAAATTAGGTAGATTTATATCGCACTTTTAATTATGCATGCAACTATAATTTAATGATTTCCTTCTTATGTCAGTCAAAGTGTAGATGAAGTATCAAAACCTCCGTGTCCGATTTCATTTACCTTGGAACTTAAGTAACGTAATTTTCATTAAAGTTAGAAGTCAAGCTACTTAAGGAAACATCTTACTAATATTATAAATGCGAAAGTATAGATGGATGTTTGTTAGAGTTTGCCGCTTAAACGGCTGAACAGACCTTGAAGAAAATTGGTAGAGAGATAGAGAGAGAGTAGAGCATAGCCTGGAAGAATACATAGGCTATTTGTTTTTTTTTAAATTCAAATATCTAGTAATTTATAAGAACCAGGTAATCGTGCCAGCATCGATTGAGTCGACAATTAAAAATGAAAAATGCTATACTTTATTGAAAAAAAAAACTTGTCAATCTGTACACGAATAAAATTGGGAAATATTTTTCAAGTTTATTGCAATCAAGCAGACAGACAGACACGTTAATGTGGTATTTTTAATCTGTAGTAATTTAACCACTAATGTGTAGCTATAAAAATTTCGTCAGTTTCTTTTCGTTGTTTAAGAATGCTAGATAATGTTTTTTGCTTTCAAGAATGATATAAAGTTTTATTTTTCTACATTTTAACGTTTCTATTAATCAATGGTATCAAAATTTATGTCTATATTCGAATTTATCTCATACCTTTTAGGATTTTGTTAAGTTAGCCTGATTATGTCTAATTGCTGCATTTATAGTGTGAACTTAACAACACATAAGCAGGTGCTAACTAAAGGTCATGAAAACATGATTTCTTATCTTTATAAAGGAAAATATTATTTAACCACCTTGTGTTTCAAGCGTGGTATTTTCATACTTTTTACAACACATGTCTTGCACAAATACAAATACAAATACAAATACAAATATTTTATTGGTAATCGAATTACAAGTCATAATTTTTAAAAAAAATAAAAAACTTTACATATATTAAAAATGACTGAATAAGAATTGGGTACATAAAACAATCATGGAAGCAAAAATTAAATTAACAACACATAAAAGTAAATTAACAACTTGGTAACAAACGTTGATATGTACTGGTTCTTAATTCTGAATATGGTTATTTTATTATCGCCATTATTGGATGTTTAAGAATTAGCATATGTTTATTATGGAATAGAATATTGATATTAGACGGTACAGCGTCATCTAGCGGATCAGTTCGGACATAACTTAAACTGTTACTATAAGCTCTTAGCTAACGATGTTTTGGTTACCAAATGATGACGAAAATCGGATATAGCACAAGAAATAAGCAAAAGACGTACAAAGAATGCGCCAAATCTCTGTTTACTCTCTGTGCTACGAGCTTGAGTGTGTTTGTCTTAGTAGAAAAAAGACATCTGGATAATAAATCTTGTAAGTCTATAACTGTAAGTGTTTATCTAGATTAAGTTAGAATATTACTTTGCATCAGGTGTCATGGCGTCTGTCACCGTAAGACTGGACTCACAACTTTGACAACTATCGCACAACTGTGGTGCGACTGTCGATTGTTTCGCAGCCCATACAACTGTTTAGTTGCGTAACTAAAAATCGAGTACTGCGCTAATCGTTACAAGCTCAACAAAGCGCGACTAAACATTTGTTAGTTTAGTCAAAGGTGTGCACACTTAGATTATTGGTTATCATACAAGTAATTGATTGTACTTACATCCATACCACCATTGTTCCACGGCGGCAGCGCGTAGTGGGAGGGGTCGTGGTGCCCCCCTCCCATGTGTTCCGCCATCACTGACATCCAGTGCACGAGGCCCTGCGCGCCGCCGCCGCCTGACGTGCCTGAAACAAACATAATATTACTAACGTGAATAAATATTTAGTAATCGATCCTAATACTCGATCGTCGGGTTTTACGAAATGCGATACTTAAATCTAAATATCTAGGATTATTTATTTAAATAATCTAACATAAATTACACATGTTTGGATATTTACACTGACAAAAATTGATATCCTATACACTTAACAGTGGTAGTGCCCGTTTTAACATCTTAGCACGAATGGGCCGGCACGTCCGGTGAAATACCACGACCACACAGAAGACAGGCGTGAAATGGAAGCAATTCCGTGTTTCGACTAATGAATGTGGTGCCGGAGGCCTAATTTAAGTCCCTTTCTCTTTACCACACTTTTCTTACAAGAAGAGGTTGGGAAGAGGAAGTGGATTTAACGGTGGAGGAGATGCATAGGAAGGGGAAATATCCTCTCTATGTGCATCTCCTCCTCCTTCGTATAAGGGTAGGCAACGCATCTGAAATTGCGGATGTCTATGGGCAGGGGTCGCTTCGCCATTTTGGCGGTTTCAGTTGGCCGCTTGCTCGTTTGCCGCCTTATGTTATATATATAAAAAAAAAAACTATACCCAAATACTACATGACCTAATGCCGGCTACGTGTGTGTGCAGCCAATGTCATATGATCGGGCAGTCGGGCTTGTCACTTAGCCCTCTTAGGATGGTGTTGGTACTGGAATCTGCGTAAAGGGAAACCGTCCGTTTGCGTAGTACGGCATCAAAGTTAATCCGCAGATGGGCAAACATCTCTATCAACCCTATTTCTGGTATACTAAAAACCAATGGATATAGTTGTTGTATTGACTATAACAAAAGTCCAAGTGGATAGCAATGTGATATATTTGCATATCTAACAAGTATAGTGGCAACACCTGTCTTGCTGATGGTTGTTTTGCACATCATTATATTTATTGTCCACTTCAGTGAGCACAGTATAATTTAAAGTTACAGTATTTACCGTAGTTCTAGCGGTAGATTACAATATAGCAAATATGGATTGAAATATATTTTTTTTTATATCATAGGGTGGTAAACGAGCAAGTGGTCACCTGAATACGCAAAAATGGCAAAGCGAACGCTGTCTATAGACATTCGCAATAGCGGATATGTTGTCTACTCTCAATCTACGAAGGAGGAGATGCACATAAAGAGAATATTTCCCATCAACGTATGTCTCCTCCACTGTCGAATCCACGTTCCCTTTCCATCCTATTTTTATGAGAAAAAGCGTAGGCAGTAAAAGGGAATAAAGTTGGGCTTTCGGCACCACATTCATTAAATAAACTTATTGGATTCGATCGTCTTATTAGAAATAATTTCTTGGAAATGAGAATTTTCAATACCACATAAAGTTATTCAATAAAAAAATCTTATTAGGATTATTACAAGTTAACATGCAATACTCAGATACTGGTAGTAAGTGAACAATGAATTAGAATGAATAGTTAAGTTACCAGTAGGCACGGCGGCTGGCTGCGCGGCTGCCTGCTCCTGCCCTCCGCCACCAGAGACCCCCCCGCCGCTCCACACGAAGGCTGATGATGCACCCGCCTTCTGGAACAAGATCTCGTGTTATTGCTGTTCAAGACTGATCTACCAATGCTATCATCAGATACGAATCTCCAGAGGTAGGGAAAATGGTTTTTAGTAAAGTATAAATCAAGTTAGCCGTTCCCTACGTTAGGACAGACTATCTAAAATGTCAATAAAGTAAAATATTGTATTTCCAATTGAATGAACAATTTCGTAAGTATAGTTTTTCAAACAACACTAGAACCATTATCAACTTGCCCTTGTCCCAATGACTAGAGGTTCGGCACAGTATGTACTGCTCTTCCATATATTTTTATCAGCTGTCATATTTGAATTCACACCCTTCAAACACTAGAACATATTTAAGAAATTATTAGTTGAATATACCCAATAGGAAAATACATGTTTTTAAAGGAGATCCAAAATAGTGTACAGAAAACACAAGTATGTATGACCTTTTTAAAAAGAAAATCATTTAAAAAGTTACACATGTGAGAAAGTTAAATATATATTTAAATTTCTGAACATTTCTAAACCTAGTCACACGATTTTAACCTTTATAAAATTCGTTTTACAAAGTTTTAGTAAACTTTTGTGAAGGGCAAATTTAGTTTTTACGTATTCTAATATTTCTTAGGTGGTTTTTAATAGACATACTTTTTTTTAGTTTCCAATAAGAAAACTCTTATTTATCAAGTATTCCGACACTGTGCATTTAGCATCGTGTCCAATTAGTTTCCTTATAATAAAACATATTTGGACTATCAAAATAAAACATAAAACTGTTGAAAATCCCAAATATAAAAAACAATTACGTCGTTCACGTAAAACAGTTCATTAAACAGACGTATGACGATTACCTCGTCTGGGGAATCTGGAGTTCCATCTGCATTATTTTCATCATCAGACATATCCGCAGAGAATCCATTTGAGAATAGCATGTTTCTAGGATACAAGGAATAGCACTCTGCAACATTCCTCCTTCTCTTACCAAGATTTGCTAAAAAATTCTTATATATTTGTGTTGGTAATAAGAATGGAGAACGAGTATTCTGGAAGCCATCTTTGAATGCTAAATTCTGATTTCTAAAAGGATTTGTGAAGTCGAAATCTGGTAGAAATTCTTTCTTTATGAAGTCGGCGACTGGATGTAACGCCAGTGTGTTTTCTGTATAATCAAGGGCAGTATTGTTAGCTTCATCATTAAGGGCGTTGTTTTCTAGATCACTAACTTCTGAATTCGCATCACTAGATGCGTTACTATCGATGTGATCTTTATTATCGTCTTCGTACTCTTCAAATTCTCTCTTCATTTCGAAATTAGTTTGTTTCTTCATAAACAAATTTGAATTCGATAATTTCACGGACATGGTATTGACACTGTATATTCACACTTAAAATATTGTATATATCACTAAATTTTAATACTACTTCTCTAAAATATATCTTAATATAAATATTTCTTCATGACTAAAGTTATTTAGGTATGTTTAGGAACTATCGTTGGGTTAGGAGGTGGCTGGACCGTAGCTGGAAAATAAAATTTGACGTAAAGTTAAAGTTTTGCTTAAAAATGTTATCTTATTCATTTAACTTCACCCGTTTTGCGGTAGTTTTTAACGCGGAGATTTATATTCACATTATACAGCGAAATGTGCTTAGCGGTTAAAAAGTATTACTTTCCTTTTCATTGCTTTTTGTTATTAGTAGTTTTATATTCATAGACTTTTTTTAAACTCCTTGTGTGTTTTGAAATTAGTTTATAATTTCGAAAAAAAAATTCTTAATGTATAGAAGTGAAGCCACGGTAGTTTCTACTTTTAAGTTAGCATTTAATTTTCGTATTGCAATAAGTTTAAGGTTCAAAGCGTAAACTTTGAAATAGTAAATCGAACGCCCACCCGAAGCTATAAACTGTTTTTCTTTCAACTTTTTCAAACTAAATCGAAAGACGTTAGTATAAATATCATATGTACTGCAAAACTACATCTTTATTACATTCCATCGGAAGAAAAACATAGTAATATCGGAAGTACATTACGAAATATCTTGGAAACATTCCCATTTCAAGGCGAATGGTTAAAATTTAAGAAATAACCGAAGGCTTTCCACCTTAGACATTTATGAGTCTGAAAGTTATCGTACTAGGATAAGTTGTGACGTTATGAATCTAAAAATATAGAGTTAAGTAAATCAAAATCAATAGATCAGACATTCTCAGATGTAGGTCGGACGATACGGAAATATTCTATGACCTTTTATATTTCCAGTTTAGATAAAAATGATCAGACAGGCTAGAAATAGACTAGCATTAAAAGACTTTTAGTTAATGAGTTAATTTGGAACTGGACACTTGGCATGTCTAAAATAGAAAGTCAATACAACCCAGATACACCACAAGAAGCTAATTGCAAACCCTTTGTCTTCCCTAAGCGGGCGCACACGTTCAACTAAAAAGTCGCACAACTGTTGTGCGATTATTTCGCAGCCCATTCAACTATTTAGTTGCACAACTATAAATTGAGTAGTAAAGTTCATAGGAATTAAAACACGACTAAACAGTTGTGCTCTAGGTTAGTCAAAGGTGTGCGCGCGCTCTTAATGTAAAAAAGACTCTATACGACTACCTTTCGAATAAAAAATAAACCATAAAAACCAGACACCCAAGGGTGAAGATAGGTAAGACTTTTTGGTATCTTACAAAATACAGATACATTAAGAACCACTGCTTTTTGGAAGTCGGTTGAGAAAGTAACGTTTCAACTCTACCAATCTCTAGCTAAAACAATGTAATTTGAAATGAATTATAAAAACAGAAGTTCACATACATTCTTATTAGAAGATGGCGGACAAAGGAAACTGATTAGAACTGGGTCTCTATTACAAACGAAACACAGGTACACTACACATGTTTTCTGTGGGGTTGTAGTACTGTCCCGATCGAAATGGATTCCAATTGATATTGGGATCAATTATTAGTTTGCAATCTGTTGCCTCGTGAAAGGTTTGAAAAACTGTATTCAGAGAACACTATCTATACATATAATAAAATTGGAGCGTCTGTTTGTAAAATCAAAAGAAAAATTCCAGATTTCTGAAAAATATATTTGCGTTAGTGATAATGAAAATCGCATTTAAATTTTTTGTCTGTCTGTCCGAAAGCGGCGTTAATCCCGGGTAATCTCCGAAACGACTGGACCAATTTCGACCGGATTACTGAAGGATAGTAACATAGACGGGCATATAGGTTATTTTTTTGTCTTAATATTGCGTAGACGCTCGCGGGCAACAGCTAGTTAGAACTATAATTAGAAATAATTCGCTAATTTTTAACGGATTCTAATAACTCCACTTAATGTTGACAATATAGATAAATTACTAATCTGTATTTATTTCAATGATAAATATCCTATTTGAATTTTACAAACAGTTTGTTGTCACGAAACTATTTTTTTCCATGACCATTAAAATGTTGCAAATGCAATGACTCTCCTTTTTTGTTAGAATAAATTACTTTTAATTCTATTTTACAATAGAAATGTATAAAAATAGCTTGAAAGAAGATATTGTATCATAAAATTGAATTTTGATAATAACAGCTTCCTTATAAAAAGTGCGTTTCAATATAAACTAAAAAATATTTTCAAATGATTCAGTAACTCATGAACTACAATACGTTGATTTCCCATTCGTTATCTTTGAATAAACGGAAAGGAATATGTTATTATAAAAGTGGTAAAGCACTGTATGTTGATGCTTTATTTATAGAAAAAAACTTGAACATAATTAAAAATCAATCACGACTTTTAAGACATTGCAACCTTAAGTACTATCAGGGAATTTGTAGGTGTACTACCTGAAAATCTCTCTCACTCTCTCTCTCAGTCGTACAGTAAAGCTTTTTATTATTTTCCGCTGTTTGTGCAATTGACTGCCACCTAATTGGATATTTGTAAAATACGGAGAAAAGTTGTCTTGTCTCGTTAAAAGAAACATGGTATGTTCTAAAAAGATGAAGACAGGAAAGGACCATGATTGTATACACAGAAACAAATCAGGTAAATTAAAGATATGTGATAATTATAATCACACTAATATAAATTAGGAATTTTAGATAGATACACATTTGTTACTATGTAAATCTAAAATCGCTTATTAAATCAGCGTGGTTTTTTACAGAGATTGATTGTCCGGTCTAGCGCATTACTTATCAAGGTTTCTTTTTTCTCTCGCACAGACAAAGTCATGGACAAAAGATATAGTATAATTGTATGTAAGGGTTAGCATTGTAGATTTAAATTTCGTAAGCTTTATTTAATTTAACATTTGACTTAGTTAAAACGGTTGATGAGAATTTCGAAACAGTTTTCTATAATAATAATTTGTACGATAAATGTATAAAAAGGCAAGAATTTAAATTGCATTGCTTTTGCAATTACTACGTCAATTTAAAATTAATTAAGATGAAATTGAATAAATAATGCAAACAAAATCTTTAAAAACGCTATCATAAATGGCAATTTGACTAAAGAGATTTAAAAATTTAAATCTAAGTTTGTCTTAAATCATTACTAGTGAAGTGGGAGAATTTGAAATACATTTTTTGGTCATTTTATAAAAGAAATAAAGCAATCAAAATATTAAACTAAGATGACACGATTTAAATTATTTATTCAAACCGATTTTAATACTAATTATTTAAAATTATTAATTTGTAGAGAATATTATAAATAAAATGCTTATTGTACTGTGTAAGGAGGTTGTACTAAAGAGAACAATTAAATAAAGTGCCATATAAAATATAAACTGCATCACTTATACGTCATAAAAACACAACATTGAAGCCACTTGCAGAAATGTTGAATGAATTTTTGTAATCACAAGTATTTTGGAGTGTCACGCGATCTTGGAATTATCATAAACAATCTTCACGGAGTCCTCACGCACACAGGGTCGGACTCATTAACGCACACATTTGAATCACTGACGCGGGCACGTGTCCCTTATTAGTGGAATAACAA